TACGGTGGCACACAAAACGTTTGAGATTTGGAGACGGCACAAGTTCAATGAAAGGAGTTACAGTGCTACAAACCTGTATCTCTTTATATTTTTGTTGTGACAAAGTAAATGGTTAAAGAAATAACAAACAAGTGTTGCAGATATATGCATATATTCAACAGTAAGTACAACAAAAGAGTATTACATGACTAGTGAGTTTGTGTCAGTTGACCAGCGTTCAATCTGTTCGACTATTAATGTTTAGTAGCCCCTCACCACGATGGTAGCTGTGGTACAAGGCCGAGTTTAACGTAGGTCACTCGAGCCCGTAGGCTTGGCCAAAAAATCCCCGTAGAACCTGCATAAACGGGTTCGGGTCGTTCTACCTCCCCGGACGAGACTCTACCCTTCGGCACACCCTCGTCCGGTTTCCTCTCTGCCCAAAGACAGCAGTTGCGAAAATTCACAGCCTCAGTAGAACAATCTATTAGGCTGTTAATATTTAACAGCTCCCCCACGAGGTATGTATGTGGAACAAGACTGAGTTTACCGTGGGTTCACCGAGCCTGTAGGCTCGGCCAAAAATATTCCCTTAGAACCCGCATAAGCGGGTTCGGGCCTGTCTACCTCCCCTGTCGAAACTATGCCCTTCGGCAAAGCCTTGTCCGGGTTCCTCTCTACCCAAAGACAGAGAGTTCGACAGTAGCTGCGAAAAGTCACAGCCTCGGTAGAACAATCTATTAGACTGTGCCCCCAAGGCCTTCTCTCCTACTAATCTTATAGTAGGCGGAAGAGTCCAACATATGCTCTTTAGAGAGAGGACACCACAACAATTTTTGTAATAAACTTATGTAATTGAAATATATTTCTGAGTTTTATTTACAAAATTATTTCCATTTACTTATCAACTCGCAATAACCACTTATATTAATTTCCCCTTTTATCCGCGGTACGAGCTGAATCCCCTTCCCTCTTTTAAAATTAATTTTCATTATTAATTATGCTGGTTGTTATTCGGAAATGCCGCTACAAGAAATGAGATAAAATAATTATTTTTCTCATATCAATATCCCTAATCAACTGAACAGATCCACCCTCATCCGGTAGTCAGATTAAAAACAAACCTTTGAACTATTTTTTTTTACCAAAATAAAAGATTATTTTATTTAACTGGTTTGGGTTTTAAAACAAGCAGTTTTGAAGTTTATATCGAGAAATATCAGTGTTTACTTGTTCCAGAATTTGTAAAATGAGCTTTTGTTAAAGTAAACGGTTAAGGGTGCCGGGGGGGGGGGCATTAAAAACCATCAATCAAAAGTGTGTGCGGGCATGAATAGAAAAAGGTTAAGAACAACTGTACTAAACACTTTTTCTCAACGGAATCTTTCTACCGTTCGTCCTTGCTTTGAATATTGTTGCTATATTTGGTTTGATGCTTCTGCTATATATTTTGAAACTCTTGAGGAAATCCGAAGATGAACTTGCAGTGTTACTCGTGCTCGTCTGGCATCTCGGCTTTCTTGTCATTTTCCCTTCTGCGGTAACGTAGCCTCCCTGTGCCTCTTCTAGAAATATTTTCATGACAATTGTTCTGATGAACTTTCCTCTTTGCTACCTGGACTTTACGAATTTAAACGCAGTACTAGATTGGCGGTTAGGTCTCATCATTTTACTGTTGAAATTTCAAATGAATTTTCAAAAAGTTAAATGCAGCGTAACTCGTCATCTTCTATCTTCTTGAACCCTGTTTTTGTCACTTAGAAGAAACATTTTCTCAATTTCTTTTATTCTTAGTAACACTTTACACCTTATTAGGCACTTCCTTGAGACCAACGGTCAAGATTTAATTAAGGAATAGCATTTCAGAGTCTGTCTATATCTCTGAGATGAGGTATTATGATTACTTTCATTATTTACATTATTCGGACTGTTATTCTCATCTTCATTGCCATATTCACAGCGTTTCGGCTGTTGTACGCCCCGGACTTCTTCAGGTGATTTTCGAACCGAACTCTCCGCTTTTATCCTCTGTCGTTATCCACATGACCCAGTGGATAAAGACGTTGTTTAGATTCAGCGATTAGACCCAAAGAGTTGTGAGTTCAATACCAGGCCACAGCAGCGGTGAACCAAAACTTGATGAGTTAAAGGGAAATGACTGAGATATCTGGAAGAGGCATGGCACGTGGAATTAGGACAATCTAATCCGATGGTCGAATCGTTGTGAATATGGCAATGAAGATAAGGAGAACAGACAGAATAATGTAAATAATACAAAAAAGCATTTCAGGGTTCGGCCAGAGATATTATAAGTATTGAGCGGAAGTAGACGTTAGAAGGAACCGGAAATCCAGTCCTAAACAGGAAACGTTTACTCTTGTTCAAAAGACCGTCGATGAGTATGAAGCCGACTTTAAGCGAACTTATCTGCTACGTACTTTACATTTTAATTGTTGCTACAATTACAAATCATCACGTTATGTGGTTTCTGTTATTTGACAGAATTCTTTGTTTGGGATTCTGTAGCGCCAGTCTAAAATGTTCAAAGGAGTACGATCTTTGCCAAGGCACTCAATCTTCATTCTCTCAACGCCTTGTTTTCATCTTTGATCTTAAGAAAGCGCCCAATATGGCTGATATTACCGTTAGAAATGAAGAGAACAAATACTACACTTTGATCCCAGCTCAATTGCCAGACAATGAAGAAAAGTATGAGTAGCACTGGCTGCTCGGTCAATGAATGTCAAATGTTTCTTTATAAGGAAACCACTAATATTACAATAATCATGAGGCATGTAGTGAACAGATACTATACTTTGATCCCAACTCGATTGCCAAAGAGTGAAGAAAAGCATAAGATGTGTAGCAGTTGGCTGCTCGATCAATGAATGCAAAATGTTTCCTTATAGGGAAACGGTTAATCACTGTTGCCATTATCGCATTATTTTACACAGCTATGAATGATTCCACTAGAGAGCCATTATGTAGACTACTGTTGACAGCAATGGGCAATGAGCCCAAGGATAGTGTCTATCAGTCTGTCCATCAACGAATTCCAACCAGCTTATATTAATATTAATTAAACTTAGTCTGACACAAGGCCATCAGCTTGGAGTATCGAGTAATGATTCAATTCGGAAAAGATTTGATAGACTAGCTTACTAAATATTGTACTTCCTCTTTTATTTTTTAATCATTTCACCCCACGCAAGGCGATAATGCCACTGGGACGCAACGGAACGTTTACATAGAGTAAAAGGGATTGAGAAGACTTTAATGAAGAGATGTAGTTGTCAGGGAAGCAAGAAATAGAAACTGTTAGAATAGAATAGACGATTGGATTTAACTAGTTCAACGGTAAATTCGTGAGACCTAGTTGCCAATCTAGTAGAACGTTTATCTTCAAGCAGTCGTGACACTAAAGAGAGAAACTCACCAGAACAGCTGTCACGGAATTATTTGTAGAAGAGACAAAGGGAAATCGATTAGACAGCAAGAGCCCTAATAATTATTTAATAACGTTAATCAGGACACCCTGTGAGGATCGAAGTCGATACATTAGGTTCAGTTATGCCTGAATTCCAGTAGAGCAAAATTATATGCTTTCTTGGCCTCACGTTTTCCATTGTCATGAAGTGGAGCGACTATATCGATTCAACTGGTATGCCTGACTGAAGGAAGGAAGGTTGATTCACTGTGACGTGCCAAAAGATTTTTCTCGCTAGAATCTATCTTGTACATTAATAAATCTACCATTCGATTTACTGTTGCCATATCTGTGCATCTCGAGATTCTTGACAAAATCCAGCGAAGGGTCTGCAATAAAATCGACCCTGAGCAGGCATCTCGTCTCCAGCCACGTTATCACCGACGTGGCTTCCCTCTGTCTTTTCTACAAATATTTTCAGGGAAATTGCCCGGACGAATTTTTTCCCTGATGTCCCAACTACATGAATTTAAGCGTGCTATTAGACCGGCAACCGTGTTTCACCGTTTTACTGTTGAACTAGCTAGATGCAGCCATCAACTCTAACAGTTTATTTTATCGCACTTCCCACCTGTGAAACTCCCTTCCGATTTCTTGCTTCCAATCTTCAAAAATTTTAATGCAACGTCAATCGTCACCTTTGTCTATTTAAAGCCTGTGCCATTTTTACCCTTTCTCAATCCACCCCATTCTCAGTCATCTCATTTTCTTTCACTTTCATTTTCAGTTCCTGTAAACCCCTGCGTGTCATTGTCGTCTTGATTGCCCACCCCCAATCAAATGAGTAAGTAGACAAAAATAGAAAGACAATGAGATGTCTTCTCGCCGGATTCATTCAACTAAAACACTGATTCGGCGTCAGTAAAATAATTGGACTATTCGGCACAGCCGTTTTAGGCGTCAGACTTTTTCGACGTCACTGTCTTTGACCGGATGCACCCCCACCCACACAAAAGGATAAAAGCATTGAAAAGACCCAACTTTCAATATGACTTTTTATTCATTTAGGGAATTAAGGATCCTATTAAAACACTAATGGAATAATGTAAATTAAAAACTTAAATTAAAAATATTTTATTAAAAAACATTAAAGATTCGTTTACAACAACGTTGACCACAATGGTGGCTCGAAAGATTCAGCCTTTCTTTTCTTAACATTTCTTTTTATCTTTTCAACTTCTATTTTTACAGCAGAACGTACTTCATTGATGTGTTCATTTAACTCTTTTCCATCCTTTATATGTAATTTCATTTTGCACCGATCTTTCTGTTCACATCGGCAAAACTTTAATTCAGAATTCTCTCTTGCTCATTGCGTTAAAAATAAAATAAAAAATGGTATCCATCGTGGATTACTTTGTTTCTTCTACATTTTGATAAAATATTTGCTTCCATTTTGGAATAAAAGAGATTTGGCGACTGAAAAATATGAAACTGCACTGAAGGAAATATAAAAATAACTCCAAATACTCTTTTTCTTAAACTGGACTATTCGAGCAAATTTGAGTATAACGACAAAGTACTAATTTGACTATTAAACACGAGAGAGAGAGAGAGAGAAAGGGATGGGGTTAGTGACAGAGAGGAGGGAGAGAGAGAGAGGAATGGAGGGAGGGAGGGAGAGGGAGTTAGGGAGATAGAGGAGGGAGAGAGAGAGGAAGGGAGGGAGGGAGGGAGGGAGAGGAGTTAGGGAGATAGAGGAGGGAGAGAGAGAGGAAGGGAGGGAGAAAGATGGAGGGAGAGAGAGAGGAAGGGAGGGAGAGAGGGGAGTTAGGGAGAGAGAGGAGGGAGGGAGAGGGAGAGGAAGGAGGAGGGAGACAGAGAGAGAGCAATTTAGCTATAACGACGAAGTAGTAATTTGACTATTAAACGAGAGAGAGAAAAGAGAGAGAGGGAGAGAGAGAGGAATGGAAGGAGGGAGAGAGAAGAATGGAGGGAGGGAAAGAGAGAGGAAGGGGAGAGGGTGGGAGGGAGAGGAGAGAGGAAGGGAGGGCCAGAGAGAGAGAGAGAGAGCAAATTTAGCTATAACGACGAAGTAGTAATCTGACGCCTAATCGTACCTCTGCGGAAAAATTCCTACGCCGAATCGTCCACGCTGAACCAGCAACGCCAAATAAGCTACGCCGAAACGTCCCATACGAAAAAGGGAGCGAATCCTGCTCAGCATCACGTTACGTGACAGAAATAGCAACAATTGGATTTGTCAGCAGATTAAAGGGAAACTCATAATCGAGACCGTCAAAAAGGGCAAAGAGAGATGGTCTGACCCCGACTCTCGTCTCAGAGACAGCAGGTGGGCAATTAGGGTGACAGGGTGATGTAATCTGCAGAGGAGTTCCCTATCTATGTTGATACCCTTAATTTTTACTTACTTTTACTTCTTTATGTGCTGTGAGTATGTGGCTCTTCACAATTTCCTTTTTGTCTTTTATTTCTCCTTAATCCTGTTCCGCCATCCATAGAGTTAATCTCCCTAAGTATTTTATTCCTTGTTTTCCTCTGTCTCTCTTGCCTTTAATCTGTCTTGTGAGTATCAGATTTTCCAAGCCATATTACCTCATTATGTGGCCTTAAAACCTCAGCTGTCTCTTCCTGAGGTTTACTATGAATTTCCTTTTTTACCATTTTCTCTAAAACGTCGTAGTTGTTCAAATGTTTGGCCCATGGTATACTCAGCATCCTTCTGTAGAGCCACATTTCTGTTGCTTCAGGTCTCTTCTTCATCATTGAAAAGACTGTCCAGCACTCACTGTCATACAGGAGGACAAATATCACGTAAAGGTTTCATACTCTTCTCATTTTTCCTAGCGAAGTTTTTCTATTTCTTAATACCCTGCTTAGCTTTTGGAAGGCGTCTTCAGCTATCCCAATACGCCTTCGGATTTCAGTGTCACCATATCCGTCTTTCGTTAAAAATTCGTCCAAGATATTTAAATTTCCACTTGTTAGATTTTGGTATCTCCGATTTGCAAATCGCATTTCGGCCTCATCCTTTTGCTGAAAATCATGCTGTTATAGTGGAACACCCCTATTCTATAGTTAATAGACTCTCCCATCTATAATAAGTAGGAGGACTAGGAGTCGCTCAGTGCTTCGGTCTGGGTTCAGTCTGAAATCGGACGACCGGCTGAACTCTCTGGCTTTGGGCGGGGAGGAACCCGAACGAGGCTACGCCGAAGGGCGGAGTCTCTTTCGGGGAGGTAAACCGACCCTGAGTCCGATTATACGGGTTCCCACGTTAAACCGGGCTTGTGCCACATGATGCCCTCGTGGGTGGGGTGACTAAATACCGTCGCTCAGCCAGTCGATGCCGGACGACCGTTATTCGGATACTAAAGTATCAGCGACCACCACTAGATTTCTCTGCGTCATTACCTATTATATCAAGTTCCTAACGTTCTGTACGTCGAACCTATTTTAGGACCAACTACAAATACAAGCCTCCACTGTGAAAGATCTCCATAACACATGCATTCTGTCTTTCTGCATTTGATGTTAAATCCTTTCTTCTCGCTTTCATTCAGCAGTTTTGGTAGCTTTCTTTCTGCGTCTGCTGTCAATACTATGTCATCGGCATATCTTAAGATTGTGGCCACCAATAATGAATCTTGGTAGGACATCTAATTCTTTTAGAATCGCCTCGCTGTGTAGGTTGATTAAGTCCGGTGAGAAGACATATCCTTGTCTTACACCCTTTTCTGTTTTCGTATATCTGCTGTACTGATTTGATTATTTGCGAACATAATCTTAACAACATCAGATGCACGGAAGACTCTGTGTTGATAGTGTTGGGGCGCACCCACCTTCTGAGGAGAATGGACTGATCTCTCTACGATATAGGTCAGTGCTAGAGAGATCAGGGGAGATCACGAGACCATTGTACTTCCGTCTCTCGACCGGAAGTTACCGTTGGACGGTAGACTCTTGTCAGAAATTTAATTTCTGTATCTATCTTTCTATCTCTCTTACTTTCCTTCCTCCTCTCCATTTCCCCCTGTGTGCAGTGTAAGAAATGCTGCTGCTGTGTCACGTGGCGAAATCGTGTCTAACGATTGGTCGTACGTGATTTGCCCGCTGGTTTTCGACTAGATTAGAGGAATCTAGTCAGTAGTAGCCAGAAAGAAAAAGTGTGTTCGCAGTGTGGAGACGAAGTCGTCTTGTCTTGCGACGAAAAGAAAACTTGTTTGAAGATTCTGTTCCAGTAATCAAGTGGATTATTGTTCAGCTACCAAGGACAAGTCAGTAAAGACTTATCAAAAAATTGGTTAAAGTAATTGTTGTAAAAAAGAATTTTACAATAGAACATTCGCAAGGAAGTCTTCTTTCGACAATCGGGTCGAAGAGAGAAACAAGTCAGTCAACCGGCTGAAAAGCTACCTTCCTTCGAGGAGTTATTTTGTCCTATTGGAGGACGAAATCCTGATGTGAAAAAGTGTATGAAAAAAAGAGATCTTCTAAGAAGTTGAATTTGTGTCGCAGAGAAAGTTTGAAAAAACAAGTCTGCATTTATTCTTAACAGGAATCTTGCTTATCTTCCAAGGAGAGCAACTCAAAATATCTAAAAAAACCTTTCTGCCCACCTACTAAAAAAAATGCTAAAGCTTTTTTTTTTTTTTTTTTTTTAACAGTAAATCTAATTTTTCCCCTCTTTCTGCTATCTCTCTACCTCTTTCACTCTCTCTCTGAACTGTTGTTGGAGTCCTTTTTAAGGGCTCGCCAAAGGGACGTTTTTGGCAGTTATTTTCAAGTTATACCAGTGAACTTTAACATCAGACTATTTTTCCCCCCTCATTTTCTTTTTTTTTCTTTTCCATCAATAAATTTTATAGCTATTTCAAGTGGTTTTCCTTCTTCTTTATCTCGCTTGTTATGGTTGTATATTGATGGTTTCAGGTCTCCGTTAACTGTGTTACGCAGGATTCCTGTCATTGGACGTAATGACAAAGTTTCCCAACTTTTTTTGCGCCGAGTTTGGCTGTTACTAAGCTAAATTTCGACACTCTTGCTAATTGTTATTACTAACCTGCGTTCGTTATTACTAACCACTCTGTTGTTAAATACCTCTTCAAATATACCAGTATTTTTCCCTACATCTGTGTTTGTCTTTATTTGAATACACACACGCGGGAACACTCCCAACATCTCAACAGATATCAATCTCAGAAGGAAACCTTAAAGAACTTTGAAATTGTAAAGTGTTGAGATGTTGTGAGTTTCCCGCGTGTCGGTGTATGAATCAAGACAAACACAGTTGTAGAGGAAAATACTGGTATATTCATAAAAGCAATTAACAATAGAGTGATTAGTAGAACGAAGGTTGGTTAGTACGAAACAATATCCAAAGTCTATAGTCCAATGCTTTGTACCGGGTAAGCTTATCTGGACTGCTGACGCTCTCTCTGACGCTCTGTCACTCTCTCTCTCTCCAGAGCTGACTTATATAAGAGGGACCAGTCCATTACTAGTTAGAAGGTGGGTGCGCCCCAACATAAAGATTTGGTTGATTTTCTCCAATTTGTAATTTGTATGTTGGGCTTATTCTTTTGCTAACAACCATACATTCTTCCTGTTCATATTTAGTCCTTTCTTCTCGCTTTCCTTCACCACCTTCTGTAGGAGCTTTTGTTTCCGTGTCTGTTATCAACACTGTATCATCTGCATATCGTATGTTGTAAAGACTGTGGCTGCCACTAATGAATCCTGATAGGACTTCTAGTTCTCTCAGAATTGCCTCGCTGTACAGTACTTCTCTGAATTCAACGTCTGATTTTACGGAAGGAGCTCGTGATACGCAATACTCTTCCAACACCACAAGATACGCATTATCACACTTTTGTTATTAACCAGGCATTCGTACCCCACTCTGTGGTAGTTTTTGTAGCTTTCTTTTTGTATCTGGTAGCAACACAGTGTCATCTGCTTATCGAACGTCTTTCCTTAGTCTATAAAACACAGGTACACGTCCTGTTGGTTTATATATTCTTAGCTGCCAAGGTCTGTAACACAGGTTCAGAGAATTTGTTTTCTAAACTAAAGAATTTTGTAATTCCCCGAAATACATTTTGATGCAATCTTCCTTTTAAATCAGCAAGCATAAATCATAATCCTCACGCCATCTTCCTAATCTCTAATCTACCTAATCTCAGATCACAGATCAGTCATGCTGCTTTTCATGTCCCGTGAGATTACGTATGGAAAACGGATTTTTTTTTTCTGTTTAGGATAAAGGAGTTGACAACCTCCAGAAATGACAAACTGGTATTTATTTGACACAACACGTAATATCTGTGAAGCGGCGTCACTTTTTTTCTTTTCTTGCTTTCCTTTTTGTTGAAGGACGTAAGTCGACTAAGGACTTTTCTGTTAGAAGTTTTTTCATTTCATTTTTTTTTTTAACAGAAAACGTGAAAACTTATCATTTAGACATCGTGTCCACATTCTGCAGTGAGTTGTTCGAATCAGTATTGATAATAATAATGCCATATCAAAATTTCGGAGAGTGAGGACTGATGAAAATGGTAATAGTCGAAACGTCGTGATCCAAACATCACGAAATTGATAGTGAGAAAGATAGGGAGCGCTGAGTGGGAAAGAGAGTAATGAGAGAAAAAGAAAAAGAGTGATTGAGAAATGAGGGAGAGAGGAAAAAAGAGAGCAATAAGTGCGGAAAGTGAGGGGGGAAGAGTGAGAAATGAGAGAGAGATTAAGAAAGACTGAGAAATGAGGACGAGAGAGAAAGAGAATGGAATGAGGGAGAAAAAGAGAGGGTGATAGAGAAAGCGAGAGGGGGGGGAAGAGAACGTGATAAATGAAGGAGAGCAAGAAAACCGGGGGAGAAATTGTTGGGGCGCACCCACCTTTCTAACTACTAATGGACTGGTCCCTCTTATATAAGTCAGCTCAGGGGAGCGAGAGACAGAGCGTCAGCGTGAGCGTCAGTGACAGCAGTCCAGATAAGCTTACCCGTTACATACCGTTGGACTATAGACTTTGGATATTGTTTCGTACTAACCAACCTTTGTTCTACTAATCACACTATTGTCAATTGCTTTTATGAATATACCAGTATTTTCCTCTACAACTGTGTTTGTCTTGATTCTTACACCAACACGCGGGAAACTCACAACATCTCAACAGAAAGAGACAGAAAGAAAGAAAGAGGGAGAGAGAGAAAGCAAGGGAAATGATAGGGACAGAGGGAAAATTTAAGATTGTGAGAAAAAAAGAGAAAAAGGGAGAATGAGAGGAAGAGATAGAAAGTGAGTAACAAATGAGAGACAAAGAGAAAAAGAGAATGAGAAAGAAAATGGAAATATCACGATAGACATTGGACGGACAGTTGCGTACAAGACATTCGTGTATTGGGCAATCGCATACGAGACAATTGCGTCCCTAGACAAATGTATCCCTGGACAGTTGCGTACGAGACATTCGTGTATTGGGCAATTGCATACGAGACAATTGCGTCCCTAGACAAATGTATCCCCTGACAATTGGGCAATTGCGACAATAGCGTCCCTAGACAAATGTATCCCTGGACAGTTGCGTACATTCGTGTATTGACAATTCAATTGTCCCTAGACAAATGTATCCCTGGGCAAGACATTCGTGTGTATTGGGCAATCGCATACGAGACAATTGCGTCCCTAGACAAATGTATCCCTGGACAGTTGCGTACAAGACATTCGTGTATTGGGCAATCGCATACGAGACAATTGTCCCTGAGACAAATGTATCCCTGTCCCGTACACAAATTCGTATTGGGCAATCCCTGAGACAATTGCGTCCTGAGACAAATTCCTGGACAGTTGCGTACGAGATTCGTGTATTGGGCAATTGATACGAGACAATTGCGTCCCTAGACAAATGTATCCCTGGACAGTTGCGTACAAGACATTCGTGTATTGAGCAATTTTCATACGAGACAATTGCGTCCCTAGACAAATGTATCCCTGGACAGTTGCGTACAAGACATTCGTGTATTGGGCAATCGCATACGAGACAATTGCGTCCCTAGACAAATGTATCCCTGGACAGTTGCGTACGAGACATTCGTGTGTATTGGGCAATTTTCATGAGACAATTGCGTCCCTAGACAAATGTATCCCTGGACAGTTGCGTACGAGACATTCGTGTATTGGGCAATTGCATACCAGACAATTGCGTCCCTAGACAAATGTATCCCTGGACAGTTGCGTACGAGACATTCGTGTATTGGGCAATTGCATACGAGACAATTGCGTCCCTAGACAAATGTATCCCTGGACAGTTGCGTACGAGACATTCTTGTATTGGGCAATTGTATACCAGACAATTGCGTCCTCAGATAAATGCATCCCTGGATAATTGCATAGCTCTAATAATGTTTTTAAAGTTACCATTTTTTTCAAGAGTTGTTTAATATTGAAATGTAACTACCAATACCTTTAATTACTCTAAACAAACAGAAAGAGAAAATGTTCTTTTTTTAAAGCAAAAGAAAATTAAATTTGAAGTTTCAGTTCATTTCAGCTGTACATACCACAAAAATCTAATAGATTCTAGATTTTATACATTATATTTTTATCTGGAACCCATGACTAAGTTCCGAAATTACAAACACTGGTGGAAAATATTTGTGGATGAGGAAAATTACAGCTACTATCATAAGAAAATCGCCGAAGAAACAAATATATACTGGTGACGTGTTGAGCTATCATTGTTTTTTATTTCTTTTATTCCTTTTTTAAAACTATTATGAATACTTCCTATGATTTTTACGAAATTTATGGTAATTGCGTTTAAAATCTTCAAAAAAATTATCATAGTTACGCAATTATCCCGGGATACAAATGCCCACGGACGTAATTGTCTGAGATGTGCAGTACTCAGCTGTGTTGTAAACAAGTATAGATGAAAGGAAAGATAAAATTGCTGCACCCTGAATGTAGCCTTTTTCAAGAAGTTAATTTCAAAGATATTATTTAGATATTTTTATTGCGATCGATTCATTTTGTCTCGCTAAACTTCTTGACCATCTTTCAGGCAACTTCACGATTTCCGTCCTCCCAGAAGCTGAAAGGTTAGTTTTTTTCAATCGGTATCAGGGCGGTACGGTTACTAAGTCGCAATAGAGGGACGGGGGCGGGGGGGTTACAAAATGTGGCGGAATTAGCGACAGAAACCTTAGGAATGAAAGAGTAATCTGGAGAATCTGGAGGACAGTCGACTGACATTGCATTAAAGATTTTTGCAGATTAAATTTGGCTGGAAATCATGGAGCCGGAAGGAAGTTCCACATGCGAGAAGTGCGAGGAAAGAAACTGTTAACACAGAACTTACGGTTACATCTAGCTAGCTCAACTGTAAATTGAGGAGATCTTGATGCCAGTCTAGTACTGCGCTTAAATTCAAAAAGTCTTCGCTTCCACCTTCCTCTTCCTTCTTCACATCCTCCTATTCTCTTTCTATTATACCCAACGTCGTACGCTTGTTTATTTATTTAAAAAAGTAATATAGCGTTCATTATTTTTTTTTAATAAAGCGTTAAGAAGTCATTTGATAAAAATCGCTTAAGGAGACCGTAAGGCTGAAACCAAGATAGCGGATTCAACTGACCTCATGACTTTTAAAGTTAAAAGCTCTGCATGCTATTTTTACTTTTATTTTATTTTTTCCCAAGGATATTGAGCATTCTTTAATACTATTATTTCATGTGTGTGTGTGTGTGTGTGTGTGTGTGTGTGTGTGTGTTTGAGTGTCATGGGTCCTTACCTATAACTACAGAATGAACTCTTCCTAACACTATGTATACTACACCTCTCAAGAGAAAGGGACGAATCGAGTCGAGCTTCTCGGCTTGACGGTTGAACTCTCTGCCTCTGAGCAGAGAGGAAACCGGACGAGACTCCGCCGAAGGGCAGAGTCTGGTTCGGGGAGGTTGACCAACCCGATCCCGTTTATACGGGTCCTACGGGCATTTTTTGGCCGAGCCTACGGGCTCGGGAAGCCCACGTTAAACTCGGACTTGTGCCATATGCAACCCTCGTGGTGGGGGTGGCAAGATACCGAATCGAGTCGAGATTCTCGGCTTGAAGGTCGAACTCTCTGCCTCTGAGCAGAGAGGAACCCGGACGAGGCTCCGCCGAAGGGCAGAGTCTCGTTCGATGAGGTTGACCAACCCGATCCCGTTTATACGGGTTCTACGGGCAATTTTTGGCCGAGCCTACGGGCTCGGACAACCCACGTAGAACTCGGCCTTGTGCCACATCTTTCCCTCGGGGGGGGGGGCAAGTAAATATCGAATCGAGTGGAGCCGATAGTAGTTCACTCCAAACCAGACTGACAGTCATACTATCACCTTCCACATCTTGTATTATTATTTCGTGTAATATACCTTCGTTATTTCTACTCTTGTGTTCGTGTTGTTCTTCCTTGGTCCTAACCTGGGCCATAACAATATATATATATATATATATATATATCTTACTTATTATAAAACGCAGATTGTGTGTGTGTGTGTGTGTGTCTGTACGTTTATATATTGGATCGGATTTCCTACATTTTTTAACCGATTTCAAAAAAACTTCACAGGACTATGTAAAATTACCTTGCGGTGGTTGTAACAGCGCCAAATATTGGAAAAACAATTGTTTTTGCACGAAATCAATTTGAAAGCACGGTTAAGTGTATCGCACCTGGCCGGAAGTTACTGCCGGCTACTCAAACGTCCGAATGCCGTTAACTTCCGGTGACTCAGCGTTTTTTTTTTTTTTTTAAAAAAAAGGGAGAGATACACAAAAAGTAAACAAATGAAATCTAAACATACACAAGTCCTCCTAACTAAAAATAATAACCGGAAACTACTTTAGTTTAAATACACATGGTGTCCAATTTTTTTTACTGCATTCGATAAGTAAAAGTCATAAATTGTAAAAGATTACAGAAAGGCTAGTAAAGGAATAAGATTTGTTAGATCATCTTACTTATTAGAAAAAACCCAGGTTGTGTGTGTGTGTCTGTACGTTTATATATTGGATCGGATTTCCTACATTTTTCAACCGATTTCAACAAAACTTCACAGGACTGCATAAAATTATCTTCCGGTGGTTCTAACAGCACCAAAAATTGGAAAAACACAATTGTTTTTGCATGAAATCAATTTAAAAACACGATTAAGAGTCATCGCTGTCGAGAATGAAAGGGGGAACAACTCATATCGAGTTATTCTTATTATAAAACCCAGGTTGTTTGTGCGTGTGTGCGTGTGTGTGTGCGTGTGTGTTTGCGTGTGTGTTCGTTTATATATGGGATCGGATTTCCTACATTTTTCAACCGATTTCAACAAAACCTCACTTTTTTTTGGCAGGTAGTGTTTCTTATTGTCTTGCACACTTTTTTCTTTATTTTTACATTCAGAATGCTTTAAAAATTCCATTTACAAGACAATTGTTTATAATAAAATTCTATTCAATCGGTAGACTCATAACGATTGAAAACAATGTTTTTGTTTGAGCTTGGGTTTGACCAATTCGTAAAAAAAACAAAAACAAAAAAACTAATTAAGACATGCGTGTCCGTCAACCTTAAACAATAATCTTTGTCAATTTTATTTTTCTGTCTTTATGATGGTCGATACTTGATCTATCTCTTACTGTTACATCCCCGGCAAAGCCGCGCTCTACTGCTAGTATATATATATATATATATATATATATATATATATATATATATATATATAAATTATTTTCTTAGGGGTACAGAACTTTATTATGGAAATAAAAAAAGGCAAGGCAACCTTTACCGTTTATGATTAAAAAACAGCCGAACGGTTTTACCCTCACTCAACAGTTGGTGATGGTGTCAGCAACACATATGGTTCTGCCATCGATGCTCATTTTATAAATAATCCAAATTGTGCCACCAATTTTAGCATCGACTTCTTTATCATACTTAGTCGTGTTTATTCTTTCTTACATTAGAAAAGATCTATGTCAGGTCCAGGCAGCCTTTCCTCTCTAAACAGAGGAAATGTCTGCTAGGGCTTGACGATATTTCAATGTGATTGTTCCACCTTTAATATTTTATATTTCATATTGTAACATTTATTCCCTCGAGTTCAGCTCTGTGGAGTGTAAGCGAAACCGGTCGGCTGTTTTTTTTTCTTTTTTTTATCATGAACTGTAAAGCTTGTCTTGCCTTTTTTATTTCCATTATATATATATATATATATATATATATATATATATATATATGTATATATGTATATATATATATGTATATATATATATATATTTACACACACACACACATATAAATATATTTACACACACACACACACACACACACACACACATATATATATATATATATATATATATATGGCAAGGAGGATTAATGGATCGTCATTTTCAGCGAAACTTGTATAAAAGGAAGATACTACCCAAACATATACATATAGCCGAAGCGTTTCGTCCTATGAGCGATTTTATCAAGGCAAATGATATATGACGAAACGTGTCCGCTAAGATAAGGAGGCTACATTTTCTTTTATAGTATTTCACGAATGTCCAGGCCGGTAGATAAAATAAATTTTATTTAAAATAAACGTAGTGTCTATTCAAATATGCGTATCCACTAACAATAACGTTTAAACTAAAACAATATATATATATGTGTGTGTGTGTGTTTGTATGTATATATATAGAGAGAAAGATAGAGAGAGAGAAAGAGAGAGTATCCTTCTCTGTTAATATCTATCTATCTATCTATCTATCTCAGTCTTTTCCTATCATTTTTCTATCTATCGATCAGAGTCTCTTCATTTCTAAGTATCTAATAGTCCTTATCTATAACAGTCTGTTTATATCTATCTATCTATCCATCTATCTATCTATCTATCTCAGCCTATACTCATATCTATCTATCTATCTATCTATCTATCTATCTATCTATCTATCTATTCCAGCCTCTACTCATATCTATCTATCTATCTATCTATCTATCTATCTATCTATCTATCACACTGTTTATATCTATCAGTCTGTTTATATCTCTCACTGTCTGTTCATATCTATCTATCTATCTATCTATCTATCTATCTATCTATCTATCTATCTATCTCAGTCTGTTCTTATCTATCTATCTATCTATCTATCTATCTATCTAAGTCTGTTCTTATCTATCTATCCCAGTCCCTTCATTATCTATCTATCTATCTATCTATCTATCTATCTATCTATCTATCTATCCCAGCCTATACTCATATCTATCTATCTATCTATCTATCTATCTATCTATCTATCTATCACCGTCTGTTTATATCTCTCACTGTATGTTCATATCTATCTATCTATCTATCTATCTATCTATCTATCTATCTATCTATCTTCGTTTCTCTGAATTTCGATTGCGAAATAATCGGATTTTGTGCAATGTCGGAATGTTAGAATGTTGGAATGTTGGATTCCTTGGCATTCCAACTGGGGTATAATCCATAAACCTGTCATGGGGCCACGTCATTCATCACCACACACACGCACACCGGTGCGTGCACACTTTTACTTCCGCCACATCACTGCCTTTTTATTCTGCCAAACGCGCTTCTGCATAACTATGCTTGCACAACCATTCCTGAAACCACCAGTGGGTTTATATATATATATATATATATATATATATATATATATATATATATATATATATATATTTCACTATCTCGCAATTTTTACTTTTCCTTGTTATTAAACCTGCGTTCAGTCTTTTTTCCTTTTTTTTCTTTTCTTTTCTTTTCTTTTTCTTTCTTTCTTTCTTTCTATTCCCCAACTCCATTTGAATATTTTTCTTTCTTTCTTTCTTTCTTTCTTTCTTTCTATTTCCCAACTTTATTTTTGAATATCTTTCTTTCTTTCTTTCTTTCTTTCTTTCTTTCTTTTTTCTTTCTTTCTTTTCCCCAACTCCATTTGAATATTTTTCTTTCTTTCTTTCTTTCTTTCTTTCTTTCTTTCTTTCTTTCTTTCTTTCTATTCCCAACTCTATTTTTGAATATTTTTCTTTCTTTCTTTCTTTCTTTCTTTCTTTCTTTCTTTCTTTCTTTCTTTCTTACATATTTTCTCTCTTCTAGTTTTGTTTTAAGAAACAAAATATCAAACCAAAGATATTTTCCCTTGTTAACAACTTTCTTTCTTTCTTTCTTTCTTTCTTTCTTTCCCTTTCTTTCTTTCTTTCTTTCTTTCTGACAAATTTTCTCTCTCTTCTACCTCAACCGCAAAAAGTGATTTGTTTTAAGAAACAAAATATCAAATCAAAGATATTTCCCCTTTTTTGTTTGTTTGTTTGTTTGTTTGTTTCTTTCTTTCTTTCTTTCTTTCTTTCTTTCTTTTACTCTCTGCTCCTCTCTCTTTCTCTCTCCCAAAATTGCCTCTCTCATGTATGTACACTCTCCCCTTTTTACTCTCCTCATGTCTCGTCATTTCGCTCTCCCCCTCTCTCTCTCTGCGCATACAATATTTCTCTCTCTCAGACTTCATTTTTCTAAATCCCTCCCTTATCTACTACACAAAACTCTCTCTCTCTCTCTCTCTCTCTCTCTCTCTCTCTCTCACACCCAACCACCCAGCAGAATAGGAAGACATGTTTCATCATCTTTTCACGTCGTTGAAGGGTGCTTAAATATCGGAATTTAATATCCAAGGCCTTCTGTAAAATCGTACCGTGACCTCTAGCATTGTCTCAAACGCATGGCTTAGATCAGTTTTTTTAATAGTCTGCTTAATTTAATCATAGATAGAAAATTGCTTAGTCTGGCATAAGGCTATCGTTGTAGGGTACTCAGAGTCTAACACTTTACACTAATGACCAGTCTCCGAGTTGACCTATAAAAACACTGTGTTACAGTAGGCGCCCTCCACTTTAGTAAACGCCATCTTGCCGAATTTTTTGCTGGCGTCTCTTTCTTCCAATGTAACCACTTCTTCTCTTATACTGTCATTACCGCGCCCGTTTTCTCTCTCTCTTTCGCATACCCTCTTTCTCTCTTCCAATGCACCCATTCACATTCCTATCCCCCTTTTTTCTCTCTCTCTCACACATGCTCTTTCTCTCGCTCCAATGTTCTCTTTTTCTATCTTAAGCAGTCTTTCTCTTTCCTATATTCTCTTGCTCTCTCTCTCTCTCCCATACTCACGTTTTCTCCCGAATGATTTCTTACTCGTCGCCATTTTCTATTTCTCTCTTCCATACACTCTTTCTCTCCCTATTTCTTCCACCAATGCACCCTTTCTCGCTCCTATACAGTCTTTCTTTTCTCTCCTCTGCTATCTTTTCCATACTATGTTTAATTCTTGCATACTCACTTTCTCTTTCCCATACTCTCTTTATCAATCACATACTCTCTCTCTCCCATACTCTCTTTCTCGTTCCTATACTCTCTTTCTCGTTCCTATACTCTCTTTCTCGTTCCTATACTCTCTTTCTCGATAACATACTCTTTCTGTCTCCCATATTCTCTTTCTCTCTCACTCATACTCGCTTTCTCTCTCCCATATTCTCTTTCTCTTTCCCATACTCTATTTCTCGTTCCTATACTCTCTTTCTCGATAACATACTCTTTCTGTCTCCCATACTCTCTTTCTCTCTCCCATACTCTCTTTTTCGTTCCCATACTCTCTTTCTCGTTCCTATACTCTCTTTCTCTCTCCCATACTTTCTTTCGTTGTCTCTCCCATACTCGCTTTCTCGGACCCATGCTCACTTTCTCGATCACATACTCTCTTTCTCTCTCCCAAACTTTCTTTCTCTCCCCCATATTCTCTTTCTCACAAACTATTTCTCTCTCCCATTCTCTCTTTCGCTCTCTCTCACATACTGTCTTTCTCTCTCTTCCATACTAGCTTTCTCTTTTCCATACTCTCTTTCTCGCTCCCATACTCTCTTTATTATTCCATTGCTCACTTTCTTGATCACATACTCTCTTTCTCTCTCCCATGCTATCTTTCTCCTTCCCATGCTCACTTTCTCGATCACATACTTTTTCTCTCTCTCTCTCATTCTCTCTTACGCTCTGTCTCTCTCCCATACTCTCTTTCTTTCTCTCTCTCTCTCTCTCTCTCCCATACTCTCTTTTCCTCTCCCACACTCTATTTCTCTTTCCCACTTTCCCATACCCTCTTTCTCTCTGTTCCGTGCTCTCTTTCTCTCCCATACTCTATTTCATTCTCTCTTTCGATCTCCGACAGATTTCAACTTATCCCCACCCCCGCACTGACAGACATTCCCTCAACCCCCACCAACATCAGCAAGAACGCTTCTCTTCTTTTCGATTTTCAACTCAACTAGACTCTGTATCAGTCCCATGTTGCATTGTTACAACAAATGCAGATTTGATGCCAAGGAATTTTTCCATTTTCTCCGCCAGACATTTTGTGACAAGGCATCAAAAATCTCCCGCCAAAAAGCCCTGACTTGTTTCATGTTCACTAAAATCGATTCAACCCATCTACGTCTCTTTCTATCTTCAGTTCTTTTGTTTATTTCCCCTCAACCACTTGAACTCCCCCTCCCCGTTAGGGGGTACATATAGCCTAACAGTTAGCAACGTAGAAAGCCAAGTTCAAATGCTGGTTGAGTTCCTCTCCGTTCATATTCACTTGGCACTAACCCCCTTCGGATAATTAGGAATTCTACCCGTAGCCAAATTATTATCGGTAAAATAACAGAGTAGTCTTGATTGAGAACCAATCACGATCACGATTCCCATAACCCATTAGTTTGAATTCAGATTTATCTTTCTCCTACATTGGCTACCAACCAAGGCTATAGAACACAATCTGCCCTGCTATTTACCCCTAGCTGAGAGAAGAAGAGATGGATTCATGCCTTTCCCACGGGAATTAGCACGTAAGTGAATGTAATGAACACGGCTGGAATTCGAACTCGGCTCTCCAATTCCTCAGTCTGAGTTGCAGTCCATTGCTGCACCTTGCCTCATGACAACCATGGAGAAGGTACTGAAAAGCTCTATATTTACCTCGAACGATTATGAGTTAAATAGCAAGGTAGATCGACCTATCTAGCTTTGTTGGGTAACCAGTCTGGTACTAAATGCAACTGAAGACCCCTTCAATATATTTACCGAAATAGATTATGAATCAAATAACAAGGTAAATTGGGCTGTCTAGCCTTGGTGGGAAATCAGTCTAGGAGGAGACAATACTATACTGTCCTGGGTATGATAATAAACTATATCCAGCACCAAGGCCTTTGATCTTTTGGTTTTGAGAAGGGTGGAACCACCTCTTAATTGCTGGTGTTCCCAGGTTCACCCTGACCCAGGGTGGTAGCACCTGTTAGGGTTCCAGCTGTGGGCAAATAATTAACCTTCCAACTGTGGTCAAAACACTATGAAAATGTAAAGATAGGTTTTGATAACAGCAATACATTTTTGTAAAACTATTACTAGCAATAAAAATCTTGTCAGCATTAAATAACCCATTGAGGTTCATATGTTGTAAATCAAATCAAAACAAACCAAACCAATACTGTAGAAAAGGCATTAGAATCTGCAATGTTATCAGTCCTGAGTTGGCATCTCGGCTTCAGTCACTTTGCTACTGCCGTAACGTAGTTCTTCTGTGCAGTTTCTATAAATATTTTCATGGCAATTGTTCTGATCAGCTTTCCTCTTTAGTTCGGCGGTTTAGGCGTTGAACTAGTTTGGCAGCTAGATATCATCGTTTTAATGTTGAAATCGTTAACGATAACCTTAAGAAATAACGAGATGTAACCGTAAGTTCTATTCTAATAGTTTCTTCTCTCGCACTTCTTGACTGTGGAATTCTCTTCTGCCTTCTTGCTTTCCTGTCAACTACGATAATCAAAATCTTAGATGCAGTATCAATCATCATCATCTATCTCTTTGGACCCCATTCTTTTATTGTCCATTCTCATCCATAACTCTCCCTTCCACTCTCAGTAACCCCGTGTGTCATAAGAAGTTCATCTTCTGGCTTGGGACGAAGACCGCTCTTCTATAATTACTATGAATTAAATAGCAGGGTGGACTGGTCTGTCTAGCCTTTGTTGGTGTTGTGGCCTTGTTATGGCCAGAAATAAAGACACAATGAGAAGAATTGATTTAAACAAATATGTTATCAGAAACAGTAATACGAACATATACAAACGAGAGTGTTACAGCAAGAATGTTCGGTCCGACTGTCAGAGCTGACTGCTGGGAACAAAAAAAAAGGCAGTACCTGCTCCTATTTATAACTGGGTGAGTACATATGTGTGTGGGTAAATTACTATAACAGTTAGCAATCAATCTAGGAGAGGACAAAATCGTGGAAGACTTACATTTTCTAAGATTAATTACTAATTATTTTTTAATATAAGGCCCAAGAGTCACTCAAAGTTGAGGGCTATTGTATGGTGTTGTATGAGAAAGCAAGAAGTGAAGTTTATAAGGTTATACAGGAAAGATAACGCGAAACTTGAAGAGGTCAAGATTGGAGTGATTGGGAAAACATCATTGCGGGAGCCTGTTCCACAAAGTAGCAATTCTTGGGAACAAGCTGTCCGGGTGAAACTTCCTAGTATAGGATTATGCGGGCAATGGGGATGGTTCACTCTTGTGTACATGACAGTGCTGGTCAGGTCGTAAAGTTCAGGGTTGGTGGGACTAAGGAATGTAGCTCGTGAGATCATTTACCATGGTAATGGATTGCAGGGTGGAAAGTAATTAATCACCCACAAGGCCGCATAGACTCATTTGAATTCCATCAAGACATAAAAGTGAGAACTGGACAGCTCAAACCTAGATATGGTAGTACTACTTCATTTTACGCCCAATCTGGCTCTTGTAAAGGAAGAGTATAACAGAAATCAAGTGCTTACTGGAGCGGTCCAGGGAACTGACCCTTTTTCCAGCATCTTTAGCAATGGATCTGAGATTTGAGGTTCTCCTTACGATCTGGAATGAGCTTAAGACTCAATAGGCGTTCACTGCGGGGTCAGCTAGTTGGCGCTAGAACGATAAATAATTTGGTTTTTGTGGTATTGAATGTGGCCGGCCAGTTGTTAGAGATTTGGTCTCTTTTCTTTTTTTTTTAACAAATTCTCATCAATTTCTCTTTATATGAATTTTCAGCCGCTGAACATCCAGCCCAACATCCCCAGCTACAACCAACAGATTTGATGGAATAGGAAAGGTCGGCCAGGTTTACGACCAGTACACATTCATAGGAGATGAGTGATATAACCCTTAACCCCATCATAAAAACATTCTATCTTATGTTGCCATATCGGCGTCTTCCTCTCAATAATATAAAAACCCAGCAATTTACAATCGGTGTGCTATAAGTGGATTGTATGTAGGCCACAAAAATATTTGAAAGGTTATTAAGTAAATTATTTTTAAAAGAAGCATAATAAGTGAACATATCAAAACAGAAATTCCTTTTTAATTGATTATACGAGTATGTCATTGTTATAAAAATTTAAACGTATACACAATATATAAAGTGTGCTGCAGAAGAATACTATAAAGTTTGTAGTGGAGGTTTAACGATATGTTCAAAGGTGCTGCGGAAGTTTTAAAATAGATTCAATGTGCCGCGGAGGTTTAACCATAAGGCTCAAGTGTATCGGGGAATTTTAAATACAGGTTCAAGTGTGCCGCGAAAGTTAAACTATACTTTCAAACGTGGCGCGGAAATTTAACTATAAGGTTCAAGTGTGCTGGGAATATTTAACCATAATGTTCAAGTGTGCTGGGAATGTTTAACTATAATGTTCATCTGAGATGGGAATGTTTAACTATAAGGTTCAAGTTTGCTGAGAATGTTTAACTATAAGGTTCAAGTGTGCTAGGAATGTTTAACTATAAGGTTCACGTGTGCTGGGAATGTTTAAATATAAGGTACATGTGTGCTGGGAATGTTTAACTATAAGGTACATGTGTGCTGGCAATGTTTAACTATAATGTTCATCTGTGCTGGGAATGTTTAACTATAAGGTTCACGTGTGCTGGGAATGTTTAACTAGAAGGTTCAAGTGTGCTAGGAATGTTTAACTATAAGGTACATGTGTGCTGGGAATGTTTAACTATAAGGTTCAAGTGTGCTTGGAATGTTTAACTATATGGTCTAAATGTGCTGGGATATTTAACTATTCTTTCAAGTGTGCCGGGCATGTTCAAAAGTAGGTTCAAGTGTGCCGCGGAAGTTTAAATATATGTTCAAGTGTGGCTCGGTTTGATTTGGTTTGTTTTGTTTTACGGCATATCACCTTCAATGGGGTATGTAATGCCGGCAAGATTTTTATTGCTGGCAATATTTATTTTCAGAAATAAATTACTGGTAATGTTTTTTTTTTATAAATGTATTGCTGCTAAAAAAATTTTTGCTGGTATTAATACCTATTTTTATAATTTCATTGTGTTTTGAGCACTTTTTAGGAGGTTAACTATTTGACCATAGCTGGGACCCTGACAGGTGCTACCACTCCGGATCAGGGTGGACCTGGGAACACCAGCAATTAAAAGGTGGTAACACGCTTCTCAAAACCAAATGATCAAAGGCCTTGTTGGATGTAGTTTATCGTTTTGCTGAGGACGCCGGATGTAGTTTATCGTCATAGCCAGGATGGAAGTGTGTCTCGGAAGTTTAACTAAATTTTCAAGTGTGCTGTGATAGTTTCAGAAATTACTCACGTGTCCCGCGAGGCACGGTGATGTAATGGATGGCGACTAGGATTGATGGAGCGGAGAGCCAAGTTCGCATTCTAGTCGAAACCATTACATTCACTTACGTGCTAATACTCTTGGGAAAGGTATGAATCCTCTTCTTCTCCTCCTACCCATGAGTAAATAGCAGGACAGACTAGGATGGCAACTGGTCTACAGCAGGTAGAAATGGCTAGCTACTGCGATAAAAAAATCTCCCTCGTCAGTCATGTATCGAAAGATACATGATCGCCTAAGCGTGTATGGCACATAACTGACTGACTGACTGAAATATGACTACGACTCAAATCTATTTTTGTCTATTTCCTTATTCAATTTAATCCCTCTTCCATATATAATGGGTTATGGCTCTCCACAGCCTCCTTTCTTATCTGGACTTATACTTGGAGTAATGAATAGAGGAATTGGCACGGATTGAGGAATCGGAGTGCCTAGTTCGAATTCCAGTCAAGAAATGGCAACCTACTGCGGGAAAAAAAATCTGCCTCGTCAGTCATGTATCGAACGATACATGATCGCCTAAG